CTATCATCATCAAAATTATTGCCACAACGGAGTTTGACTACGATAACTTAACGTGTTCAAGATTTAAAATGTGATTTGATATTAAATTCTATATTAAAGCGACAACCAATCGAGTGGCAACGCATTTCAATTGAGTGCATACTTCCGGTAATCACATGACAGAGGAATATCTGGGTTGCCATGAGGGTAATAATAATATTGTCCCATTCGTAGGAGTATAACTATAGGACATGACAGTGGAATATCAGGGTTGCCATGAGGGTAATAATAATATTGTCCCATTCGTAGGAGAATAACTATAGGATGTCAAAGATACTTAACAATCGTCAATGTCATGAGAGCGTAATTTGGACAGATTCATTCCTTTACAGGAAGGTTAAATGAAATCTCTTCAAACTATCATCATCAAAATTATTGCCGCAACGGAGTTTGACTACCATAACTTAACGTGTTCAAGATTTAAAATGTGATTTGATAAAGTATATCAAAGTTAGATAACCCAAATTTGGATGAACTGACTACAGACACCTTTTTTTAAAACTATACTCGGTTAAAATTTTGTACGCAAAACGTAAAAAGAGAGATAACTCTACCGTGCTTTATTCTATTTGATTTAATTTATAGTAAAATATGTAAAGGTTTAAATTAACAGTGGCCAAAAATTCAGAGTCGTAAAAGAAACATACCATTTTGTGTTTTGTTTTCATGAGAAAATGAAAAAAAAAAGGATTAAATGAAAGCAGAGATGAATGTATATGCATGTTTATCGTATTATGATATAAGCTAAACAAATTTATAAATCCGCTTTCCACAAAACTAAGGTATTGAGAGCTTTGGATTATAGAATCTAGATGATAATAAAAAAGGTGCATATAGGTTTAGGATAGTCATTCATTTGTTAAGGAGTTGCTATGGTTATAAACCCTTGCATTGCTGGTTGGGGCTACATAAATAAGAAGAAAACAAACCATTTTAGTATGAGATTTACTAAGCAGAGACAGGAAAATTAACATAGGCACAACATCAAAATAAACAGGAAATAGGAAAATACTTTAAACAATCTTTTGGTAATAAAGGTCCTCACGTAATCAAATACTTATACATCATTGGCTTTTAAAGTTTTGGACCTGAGCGTTCTTGATGTAATTAAATATAGAAAAGCACTTAGTACGCATAAGATTTATAAACTTTTAAAAAAGAATTTAATGCAAATTATGGCAAACAGATATAAAAGGCTAACAGAAAGCAAAACATAACAATACAATAATTCAGAAAATAAATTTCAATGAAAACCCGGTGTCTAATCAGACTACTAAAAATAATCAGCAAAGAAACCAGGCTTGTTATTTTGAATGCCAGTCGTGTGTTTTGTCTACAAAAGATTAATCATTGACGCTCGAATAAAAAGATACAAAGATAAAATGCCAAATCAAGGCCGAAGTTGAAGAGCATAGATGACCCTACATTTCGAAAGGTGTTGACAAATACAGCTAAAGTAATCTATTTCTGGGTTAGAAAATCCAAAGTATTTCGAACAATTCAAAGTTTTGTAAACAGTTTTTAATAAGTTTTTAAATGACCATATATGATATTTTATGTCAACAGAAAAGTGCATATTACTGGGCTGATGATGCCCTCGGGGAGGAAACCTCCACCAGCAGTGGCATCGACCTAGTGGTTTTAAATAAACTCATCATAGATAGCAGGATTAAAACCGCTGTCCTTCAACTAATATTGACCATTTAGTTAAAAGATGAGGCTGGTTTTAAACTATGGAAAAAAAAATGACATGTGATACAGATGTCCATGCAGACGACGGTGACGTGTGATACAGATTTCCGTGGAGATGACACATGTTCCTGGGATAACCTAAACTGGTAAGCTCAAGACAAAAAGTCTGAGATGTCAAAAGATAGAGATTGTGCGAGAAAAAAACCATAAAAACATAACAATGCAATAATAAAATAATAGAATGATATGAAATATGCTGCGTCTAAATCACAACTACAAATACAGGTTTATAAGTAATTGATTAACATGATCTTCCCAAAGTTGAAAAAGCATAGTAACACTCATTTAAAAGAGAAAAAACAGGGGTTGTGTCTCCTCAAAGTACAATTTAACAACTGACATTACCACAAAGTACAAACATAAGACGAACATCAAGCGAAAAGATGATTTTTTGGTAATTTATGATCTTTTGAAATTATGAAGTATTTACGTTTTTCAAGGAAATGACTTATTTATGATGATAAAAGCTGCATATCTATGCGTAAAAGATTTTTATTGGTGGTTTATGGACGTGGCTTTCTTAAGTTATGTAACATAAGAAATATAACTATAATTTTTACATGTGTTTTTACTGTTTGTGTGTTATGTAATATGATGTATGTTTGCAGCACTTATGATTACTAATTCATCCGAACTGGAATGCTAAGAGCCCATATATGGATGGCCAACATGTTTATATGCGTGTGAGTTAACATATTCTAAAGGGGTTCAAACGAATATGACATGTTTATACTCTAAAATTATTATTGTATCTTAAGTGACGCATTTAACTAAAATGCTTGTACTATAAAGTGTAAACTTATTCTTAGCAGCTCCAAATGTGAATTAAATATTTGTTATGGTCTTCCAGGAGAATCTTTAATAATCGAACATATTCTAACATTTTTGCTGGATTTATACAATGTTGTGACATATAGTGTGTCTATCAATTCTTTCATGTGGAGACGTAAAAAATAATTTTATATTGGACGCAATAATGCTATATTAAATTTAATTAGCTTAATAATTATGCTGCTGAGTGTCTACTAATCATTGCATTTTGGTTGCTTTACAAATGTTTCAAGTATGAGAAAACAATGAAATATTGTGACTTTTTATGTTTATATTGCAGAAATAAAGCGTCATATGACATGCGACTGGATGATATAAACCGATTAGCTTTACATCATAGTAAATAATAATATTGTAATTAACATGCCTAGCATGATAATCGTCAAAAATAAAATAAAATAGAAAATCCTTCAAAACTGACGTGACACAAGACCAAAATAAAAGGACCACTCTTTCACATTGTGTTTTATGGTTTGAATGCCCATTCGTTCACTAATTATCACGAACACTTGTTCAATTTCATTGCTGTATCATAGAAAAAAGTTATATATCAATTCTGCTTAATTGATGACAATGACTATTTAACAAGGTTTAGGTTCATCACTATTCCTCAACAACAAATCAATATGATCAATAATTCTAAACGAAAACAATACCATGCAAGCATAAGCATCATCTTGTTTCTGGTCCAATTCTTTTTCAAAAATCGACTTAAACAAAAGAAATACAAAGCGGAATAACTCAAATCGGAATATCAGATTTTTTACTGTTTTTTTCTCCAACCAGTTATGCTCACAATTTTGCAAAACACATAGATTAACTTCTAGATTGAATTCCCCAAAATATATACGGTCGATGCAATAAATCGGAATGCTACATCCGAGCAAATCGGGAAATCGAATAACAGCGACTAGTAAAATATCTTCCAAATGCGAGCACCAAAAAATGACGTTTTTTCACGTTCCTTGGTAGACCTATCTCCCTTTTTAACAGAAATAATTACACATCGTTAATCAGATTTTTATATTCAATTTACAAAATGGGGGACAAAGTTGTAGACTATTGAAAACCAAATATTCCAAAAAGTTATGCTAAATTTGGTTAGGCCTTTAAAGTTTTCTCACTGATTTTACAGGCATCCACAACATAACAAATCAAAACTCTATTCAGTACTTAACTTTATTGTTTGGGAATATTTTAGCATAAGAGAGAGGCGAAAGATACCAAAGGATTATTCAAACTCATAAGTGGAAAGCGAACTTACAATGCCATGGCAAAAAACGTAACGACGAAAAGACAGTACACAACAGTACACAAAACACAACAAAGAAAACTAAAGACTGAGCAACACGAACCGCACCAAAAACTAGGGGTGATATCAGATGCTCCGGAAAGGTTAGCATAATATTGCAAATGTTTTTTTGTGAAAATATTTCTCGAAGGACATCATTTACCAACATGGATTTAAATGCCGAAGGTGTTCCGAAATACCTTATAATTTTGTTATAAACTCAAAGTAAGAAAAAAGTAAAACAACAAACATACCGAACTCCAAGGAAAATTCAAAAGGGAAAGTCCCTTAAAAATTGGCAACATCAAAAGCTCAAACACATCAAACGAATGGAAAAACAACTGTCATATTCCTGACTTGGTACAGGCATTTCCTTATGTAGAAAATGGTGGATTAAACCTGGTTTTAAAGTTAGCTAAACCTCTCACTTGTATGACAGTCGCATAAAATTCCATTATATTGACAACAATGTATGAACAAAACAAACAGACATGATAGGTAAAAATGTCAAAAATAGGGGTACAGCAGTCAAAATTGTGTTATAATCTCAATCACTATAAAAACAAACAAATATGTCAACAAAGAAAAAAAAATGTGATATTTTGAATTTTCGTAATAATTGAAAGCCTTTTTTCAAATGGCTCTTGTGAAACAGTATTGTTACGGGAAATCGAGCATTCATCTTTCATTCCCTATTTGTACTGTTTTACTTGGTGAAATTATTCAATAATTTGACGTTTTACTTTTATAAATATCAAAGGGCAAATGTTCATAAGAAAAATAATACTCTATAATTAACAAGATTCATCGTGAGCTACTGCTCACTTGTTTGATAGAGAAAGCTTCCAACAAGGGCATGACATTTTAAAGATACAAACTTTCAGCAAACAGGAAGTAGAACATATAGAAAAAACAAAAAAACATATCGGTATAGCATGACAAGATGAAGCTTGGTGCCATATATCAACAAGCTATTGTTTTGTGAGAAAATTCGAATGACATGTGTTATGGACAGACGGACAAACGGATAACCAATATATACCTCTTCAATGGAAAGGGAATATGAAAAATCACAAATCAGACTTACCTTTTAATGAACTCCATGTGTTCTGTCTGTCTCATCATTCCTGTACGCATCATTATACTTTGGAAACATGGTCGATCTATGGCCCATAATTTACAATTAATTAAAGCTGAAAATGAATTATATTGAAACCGATTACATTGTTTGTCTATGAGAAGTACAATTTCAATTCAAAAAAATATTGTGCAAAATATTTTCTTAATCGTAATTTACGTGTATTGCATAAGCAAGATTTAGTATCGATACCACTAGTTAGGATATGCATGTCTCTTCGTAACTATAATGCACCATAGAAGCCAGATAAAAATCCTAAATTTCATGTAAAGGAAGTGCAAAACTAAAAACATTTTCGTCGAGTAGTGCGAATCGTAATACAATTTGACATTTAATGGTTATTGTTTCAAACGTCTTATGAAAAAAAATGGGTATTAAGTACTATTTTTTAATCAAGTAAACACGATTGCTGAGCCCCTTCTTGCAAGTCTGTATGTTTTGTGGTGAGCTTTGATAAAAAAAGATTAAGTATTTCGCATGATAATCATGCTAGACATTAATAAAGTAAGCATAATATGTTAGTAAGTTAGTCTGTCTGTAACCCGTTCTCATGTTAGACATTTTTATCGGCACAGCTATATGATTAACAAGAAAAAGTTGAAAGGCCCTATTGAGCAGCCTCTGATCTAAGCTTATTCAGAAGCTAGCAGTTTTTACAGGAGCTAAAATTGTCCTGTTTCTGTGCCAGGGGTCTGTCTGGATCCTCTATTATCTAATGTAATTTTGGAATTTTTTAATTTTATTTTTAACACGGTCCCATCGATAATATTCTTTTTTTTACAGGTTTAATAAAAATTAGCCTCGTCCTTTAATGGTAATTCACAAACAAGAACATAGTGTTTTTGCTTTTTAACTTACGAGCAACAGGAGGATAATTTCTACACAATAAATATTTCTTATTTATTTATGCAATAAATTAAGGCAACAGCAGTATAATTTACCGATGTTTAAATCTCGTAAATCGACAAGGAAGACACAAATCATGGTAACTAACAGAAACTGAGGTGATTGCATGAACTCCAAAAGGAGCGAGGCCGGGTGCGTCGGCAGGGTAAGCGTTTTAAAATTCACAAGCAAAAGGCTATTTATTTTTTTTATAGGTAGATGAACCTACAGATGAACCTATCTTTTCGAATATAGCGAATACGACATAAGTTGTTGAAAATGTTTCTAAAACTCTTTGAAACAATTAACAAAAATATTAATGTTAGGATTTCAGTGGAAAATATAACTGATGGATTTTTCTGAAACAAATATAAAGACAAACCCTTGTTTACCTTTTACGCTGGCAGTTCTTGTACAGTTATATAAAATGGCGAGCTCTCCAAACACCTTGGCAGGACCCATAGTACATAACTTCTGTCCATCCTTCGTTACTTCAACTTTGCCATCTTAAAACAAAACAAGGTACTCATATTAACTTGAGGATTACATGCTAAATCGAATTACGTTGAGAGTTTATATTTACATTTTGTTAAAATATATAACACGTGAGAAAAAATAACTTCTTAATCGAAATGAATATCATGAAACACACACTCCTAACTTAAGACATGGAAATCAAAGATCACTCACCTAAGTCCCTATTTTACTGGTTTCTGGGATTCAACATACCCATAAACGTAATAAGAGACAAGAAGTTCCTTCTTTATTCCACAAACAGTTTTAGGATTGACCTATAACCTGTCAAATATTTGTTAAAGGAATTTATCGTAACTTGTTTTTGCTGTAAACTTTACCCCAAAAAAACGAGTATGTGTATGTAATAGAAATGGTGAAAAGCAAGGAGGATAACTCTACCGACCTTTGAAATGACACAGAAATGTTGCATATTTTGAAACTGATGATCATAATTAATATGAAAATGAGGAGATGTGGTATAAGTTTGCCAATGAGACAGCTATCCACCATGAAGTGGATGTAAGCAAATATAGGCAACCCTGCGGCCTTCAACATTGAGAAAAACTCAAACTGTATAGTCGGCTATAAAAGGGTCCGACATGAAAATTAGAAATTCTTAATTTTATGTTAAGCGAGTGCATAACCGAAAAAGTTTTACTATGGAAGGGTATAACTTTGGTTCTTGAATTTTAGGACAGTAGATAACCTTTCGTTATTGATTTATTTACTTGACTTAGCACGATGCTATGTGCTAAAACATGCGCCTACTTCATTCAAAGCTCATTTTACAACCGTTTCATATATTGTATATATTGTCTTCATATTTGGCCTCAAAAACTCGATATGGAACACGAAATTTATCCCAGAAGTATGCAACGTGATCATTGCAATAGGTACTGATCAATCATTTAATAAGTAAGTACCATAGACGAACGTTTCTACGCACATTCAACGCACTTTTGATATTGAAACCATGTAATCATATACAATACAAACACATAGCATTCCAATTAGATATTGATAATCACCCAAAGTGTGGAAAAATTGTATGAATGAATTGAATAGACACCATCAATGAAATATATTTGACACCAACATTGATAGAAAAAAATCATAAAAGATGAAAACAACAACAGTTGACGAGGTTCCTGACCTGGACAGGCACGTAAACATATGTGAAAGGGTTAAACTAGTCTGTAATCACTTAATCTTTCCCTTTATGATTAGTAAACCATTCCGAAACACATGAATTCATTCCCGCTTTTATTTGTTTCGGGATAGGTGTTTGCTTAATCATTAGTTTTCTGACCAGTTTTTTGTTTGTTTTTTTCGTCCAATTTCTTTTTGACAAAATGTGTTGGTCCTTTTCTTAGATTTTCCTTGGTTATCATCCCCTTTTCTTTTAACATAACATATATCAAAAATAGTTTGAGGTTTATCAAAAAAAGATGTTAATTTCATTCATTATACTGCATGTCAAAATCCTCGATTTTGATTGGTAAATACGAGGGTGATAATTTACTCTATCCCATGGCTCAGCGGGAGACAATTTTTTGAATGTCACCCTCTCATGCAGACCAATCAAAAATCGATAATTTAAAGGACAATGAATTGAATTGACGTCAATAATTTTAAAGACAAGCTCAAGGTATACGTTTTGGCCTCAGACCTTTTTTATAAACTGTAAAAATAAAAAATACATCTAGCTCCACTTTTGTTGTTTTTCTAATAACGGTAACTTTGTTATGTACATAACGTCATAGTAAAGTACTTTCAATTTAAAGTTTAAAAGACAATAAATATAAATTATTACGGATGACAATGTTTTTTTTCAAGGGGAATATAACAATCTGCTCTATCACCCTCTCAGCTATGTGTTATCTATATAATATCATTATCCTCCGAATGATTGTAAAATATGTTGTTGATATGATAAATGTTGTCATAAATTGCTGATATGATTTTATATAAATATTTACTTTCTTGTAACCTGTCAGCAGTGGCAATCTGTAACATCTTACCTTAAAACACGTATATTAAATCGGACTTCAGATCTAGACATTTATATGCATGGAAAGTGTTTATGTGAATGGTTCTGTTAAAGCATTTGGCAAGAAAGAGTATTTTGTAATGTAAATACTACTGGCTATCTTTAACGAAGGTTTGATTTTAGTTACTCCAAACTTTCTAAGGATGGTACATTAAAGTCTGTTTCGAGGGATGACAAGGGGTTGCTAATTTCCAAAATCCCGCTTTTTTTTATTTTTTCAACTTCCCACTTTTATTTCCTTCTTTTCCCAAATCCCACTTTTTTACGCCTATATCCCACATCCCCACTTTTTTTACCCCCTATATCTCACATCCCAAAAGCGTGTCCCTCTTTTTCGTATTGTTCCTACTATCAATTTTATTATTTGAACCCACTGTTTTTGCGAAAATGTCAGAATCAAATATATTTGAAGGAAAAAAATATAAATTAAAAAATTCAAGAGCCGCATTAGAAATAATTGTAATACAAATAAAAGATATAAGAAGATGTGGTATGTAAAGTGTTATTAAAGTGAAATGGGTTGTACACACATTATCATTCATATTACCATGTAATAACGTAATGTTCCTCATAATTACTTCTTCCTACTTGTTTCGATAAACTTTACTACCCTTTCTTTCATGTTTATTACATCTAAGCATCACTTGACTGACATGATGGTTTTTGTCATAAGAATAAACCATTTCCTTATCAGGGATAGGATGTAACTATATGTAATTTTGAAGGATCCAGTTATTAAACTGTAAAACGAATTTCAAAGAATATTAATTGATTACTGTTGATATTTGATAGTCCTTGTAAAATCTATCAATACCTGTCTAGACTCGGTCTATCTAAGAACTTGACATTATATAAATAACACATAGCTGAGAGGATGATAGAGCAGATTGTTACCCCGAGAAAACATTGTCAACTGAGGCGAAGCCAAGGTTGACAATGTCTTTTCGAGGGTTAACAATCTGCTCTATTACCCTCTCAGATATGTGCTATTTAATTTATTATACTGAATGTTCTGTTATTACTGTCGATTAAATTTAAAATTCAAAGTAATAAACTATGACGTCTTGCACACAACAACCATCCGTATTTAATAAAGCGCACACCTGATCAAGCGTCTCCGTGAAGGGTAATAGAGTATTTGCCATAGGATAGAGTCGTATTTAATAAAACGCACGCTTGATCAAGCGTCTCCGTGAAGGGTAATAGAGTATTTGCCATAGGATAGAGTCGTATTTAATAAAGCGCACACTTGATCAAGCGTCTCCATGAAGGGTAATAGAGTAAATTAACACCCTCGTATTAGCCAATCAAAATATGGCATTTTAACGTGAAGTATAATAAATTATATTATACATTTGTAGACAAATATGTTCCAATTGTCGTAACCACAATGCCCTCCTCTTTTCCTCAAATGCGGCATACCGTAGAAGACTTATCATCGTGTTTGTACTTACATGAGCAACACGACGGGTGCCACATTTGTAGCAGGATTTGCTTACCCTTTCATGTCACCTGAAACCACCCCCGGATTTTGGTTGGGTTCGTATTGCTCAGTTTTTAGTTTTCTATGTTGTGCTATGTATACTGTTATTCGTCTTTTCAATGTTTTTCGTTTTTGCCATGACATTGTTAGTTTTTTAACGACTTATGAGTTTGAATATCCCTTTTGTATCTTTCGCATCTCTTGTCTACTTTTAAAGAACCTTTGTTGTCCCCTATATATCTACTGGGTTGCAGCGTCGTATTGGTGCTTTCTCGTTGATATATACTTCCATATCTCTCTTATCCATACAATGATAATGAACAGGTAGTCAAATTCGAGGCAACAGTAGTTTGCCGATGTTCAAGTCTCATAAATCCATCAAAAAGATCAAATCAAGGTTAAAAACAAAACACTTAGGGAAACTTATGAATTCCAAAAAGAGCGAGATCGGGACATTCTTTGTAAATTCGCAAAGATGGAAATGGTGGTGAAGAAAAACATATATGTTAAAGTGATATCTGATCTAATAAATATAATTTTTACGTAGATTTACCGTGTTTTGATTTGTTGATAGTTTGTTGTCTATAGTTCGTTGGCAAACATTCAGTAGAACAAGTTAAAATATATATGTAAGGACGTAAAAAATATATAATTATTGACCACCACTTGAAATAAGGGCTCATTTATTTGGGGAAAAAGCCATCTGATTATCCCTTATAAAAAATATGGGTATTTTTATCAGGTATTATAGGAAACGTTCCAATGTTTTCAAATGCGTAAACATTTGAACTTTTCAGTAGTTTCTTTTGTAATTATGAAGAAAGATAGCGATTTGAAGATTCACTCTTTTATCATAATGATAGCTTTGGAACAGAGAAAAACATGTCTCGGATGAATATCCTTGCTTCTTTCAAGAATTACATCATTGTCTATATTTGATCTTGTATTTTGCCATTTTGGACTCATCTACCTCATAGAAGAGATTCCCAACAGTGACGTATCCAGCTTTGTCATATCAATTTTAGGATTTAACTTCACTTCCATTATTGGGGAAATTGAGAGAAGTTCAACTATGAAGCTTTTTTCAATTATTTCCACACAAATCGAAAATAACATTCTCATCTCATTGTGGGTCTGAAGTCCTTAGATAAGTTAAGAGTGCTTGTTGTATTAAGTATGTTATATACATTAATTATATACATAAAATACATTAATTACTCTAAAGTATATAACTCCTACACTCAGTTCTCTTTGTAATTGCTACTGTATATAAGTTGGTAGATACCAGAGATCAAGCATCTTTTATCAGTACACCAGGAAACTTGATTGATAACATCCTTTAATTTCCAGCAACATCACCTGTTTAGTTTACATAGCTAGAGAAACAATTGTTTTAACGCAGAAGAAAACTTGAGATAGTATAATCACATCTTAAAACTGATACATGAAAGTTTGTAAGACAATAAAATATCCATAGATTATCAAAGAGGTGAACACACGGCTCCACAATCCCCAAGCTGGAAACGCACCCTTTTGTTCTTCAAATAAACTTTCAAATAAACTTTAAAACAAACTTTTAAACCGAAATTTGCTTCATATCTTGCGAGTGACATTTATCCCTCACTTGAAATCGGGAAATTGGGTTTGAAGCTATAGGAGAAATAAGTTATACTTGCACAATATCAGGGTTTTCTCTTGACTGTTAATGACGTCTTTACACTAAATCCATGTTGGATGTGTACTGATTGATACTTTAGTCTTACGTTGATGATTTTTTTTATTAGTTGTTCATTGCTTTTAACTAGCTTTCAAAAAATGCGAGTACTCTCAGTTATGTACTTTGTGTCTTTAGTGTTTTTGTCAGTTGTTCTGTGCCTTGCATCGACCCGATGCCTTAATCCCTTTTCAACTGATTTTTATAGCTTCTTATTTTGTGCCGTTACACTACTGTCCCAGGTTAGTGGAGGGTTGGGCGACCCCATACATATTTAACCCCGCCACATTCTAGATGTGCCTGTCCCAAGTCAGGAGCCTGTAAATCAGTGGTTGTCGTTTGTTAATGTATATCATATTTGTTTTTCTTTTATTGTTTTGTACACAAATCAGGCCGTTAGTTTTCTCTTTGAAATTGTTTTACATTCATTTTGTCATTTCAGGCCTTTTATAGCTTGCTATGCGGTAAGAGATTTGATCATTGCTGAAGGCCTTACAGTGACCTACAGTTGTTTGAAACTTCTACGTCATTTGGTCTTTCGTGGTGAGTTGTCTCATTGGCAATTAAACCATATCTTCTTATTTGTATATAGATATGGAAATACTTAAAGGTAAAAACGAAACAAGAAGTGGAAAGCAATGAAAAAAGTATAAATATAAAGGAGAGTAAAAGAAATAATTATAATTGGTATATATTATGTATATGTTAAGCTTCGAAAAAATGATACATTACCTTCCATGACATATACAAGGGAGCCTACATCTCCTTCTTTAATAATCAAGCTGTCCTGTTTATATTCTACTGGATACATACAGTCAACTATTTCTCGTATTTGTCCCATTTCTAAATTCTTCATAAAGTCATTGTCTAATATTGCTTGCTTTATTAAATCTCGTGAGCTGAAAATAAAACAGAATAAAAGGTTTATTACTTTTGTTATTGGACTTATATGGCTGCAATTATACAGAAATGTCCAGAATGTATAAAATACCAGCAGTATTTCCAATTCCTTTTTAATGGTATTTTGGTTGAGGTATACATTGAACAGATGTACCGTCATTACATCTACTGTATATATTTTTTATAGATAAATTTTCCCTCAAAATACATATATATAAGATAAGATAAGATAAGATAAGAATTTTATTAATCTAATCAAGAACCCATAAAGGGCATCATTTACAACAATATTAAGCACAATATGATTGGAAAAAAGAAAAACTAGATCTTAATATAATACTATCATGTTATGGACAGGATCAGAGCCTAACACATCATGTGTCTTACATAACTTTTACAATAATTTCACAATAATTAAATATTATTTTATATATTTTGTATTCACCTGGATCTTATTTCTAAACACTTAATAATATAATTGCCTAGGCACATAAGAGTTGGTAAATGCTCATTTGTGAACAGCCAGAAATATTTAATATCCTTTTTATATGATTGTATGTTGATCTTTGACTTGATCGAGACCCAAATAGTTTTCCAAAAATTTCCATTTTTTGTATTATTTTTTTCTTTCTGAAACGTTCATATTGATCTTAAACAATCCGATTATTCTTAACAATGAAATATTTTGTCAGCCATATTTTATCCTTTTTCGTTGCAATATTTTCGTTCACGTTTTTCTCCCTATTTAAAGTATTCGGTCAATTGAAAGGAACAAAATTTTAATTTCCTCTCACTCATGAGACTTTTTCTTGATTTAATTGGATTACGCCTGTCGTCAATTTACCTTCTCCCATCGGAGTCGTTGGCAACCAAGGAACTGGCGCTAGCTATCGCAGTCGACCTTTCCCGAATATTTCAAAAAATTTTATTTTGAACATTTTACAAACAACAGTTATCTGTAACTGTATGTCTTGTCGGCCTCAATTGGGATTTTACAGTCACAAATATCCATTTTAACGGATTGGCTGAGAGTCGTCAATAAAACTACATTTATACGACCGTCAAAACAGCAAATGACATCGACGCCCTTCCAACACAGTGCAGTAGTCTTTTGTTTATAACTACTAGTATCATAATTAAGTTCATAATATAACAAATCTTTATATGATTTATATGACAATAAATTATTTGACAGTTATTCCTAAATAAAACTTTTCTTTTCAGACGGTTAGTTATAAGATAGTACACACTTATGGGGTTTTTAATATACATGTATACAGTGATAGAAGTTTTGGTTACCTTATTAATATCACGATTTAAGATCATAGAAGTGCTATAGAGGAAGTGCTATATATTAACACTATCTTCAATTTTCATGATATTATAGTAAGCAAACAGATATCAAATATAGCAATGTCATCCAATTGATTGATTGATTGATTGATTGATTGATTGATTGATTGGTGTATAACGCCACTTTTATTATTGTGCTATTTCGTGGCGGTTATATTTTTTTGGTTGAGGAAGCAGGAGTGCCCGAAGAGAACCACCGTCTTTCCGTATGAAAACTGACAATTCTAGTCAATCAAAATTGGAGTCGAGCGCATGCCACGTGCGGGATTTGAACTCACAAGCTCTGTGGTGACAGGCTAGTGGTACAGTAGTTCGACTACTTAAACCACTCGGCCACCGAGGCCCCCCGATGCTATTCAAATATCACATCCAAGTTAAAAAGACAAAGATGGGAATTTATAAACTAGTGAGATCAAATGCACTGAAAAAGTTCTGATGAATAATAATCGACCCTTCAACCTTGATAGTAATTACAACTGGAGAATACTTTCATTTATCTGAGTAGTAATTATATTATATAATGAATGCATTTGCCAGATTTCTCCCACTTTACATTGCCGAACCGACAAATGCTCACTCCGTCATATGATAAAGGTTCTATCAATTTATCTGCATTCTAAGCATGGTTTTGCGATCATGAGCGAGATAATTCGAAATACATTTAAACAAAGATATATATTTTTATTTTCCCATCTCGGCATTAAGAATTATTAACTCGTGCTGAGAAAAATGTACAAGGAGCAGATTGTAATATACTTCACTTAACATCAGTAATAACTTTTAAAAAATGACTGCTTGCACCTGTCTTGTGATGTTTCTGTGCTATCAACTTATGTAACTTAAAAATAAATATATTCCATTCTTATTCGGAAATAATTTGGAACAAAATTCCTATTATTTCGGTTAGCATTTTCTTGCTATAGTTATCATACTGTTTTTTCACAAATACTAAATTATGATTCAACACATTATTTCCAACAAGCCAGTATCCCAAGTGATAGTCAATTTCAAAATATTTTGTCACATCGTTTGAAGGTTAAACACGTTTTTAACTAATACAAAAATGATTTACTTCGCGAAAATAAACCCATATTTAAGGTAACTTGCTTTGGTACAATGATTGCAAACCTCAGCTTACAAGTCGGGTCGGTGCCTGATATTTTTCTAACCGGGTTGATAAGACTTTTAGTGCTATAATTCTAATAATTTTTTGAATGCAGATAAGCTAAACAGTCTACCACTCCTTTGCATATATATATATATATCCGTATTTTCACTCTTAAAAGTATGATCGTGAACACCTTACTTTCATTTATCAAAAAGACGAGCGAATACTGCCACATACCTGGATGTCTTCTGAAATTTCGTCAGCTTCTTAAAGCCAATTAATGCATCAAATTTTGCAGGTTCAGCAGAAATAGCACATCGTTTAATTCTGTCCCTTGACATTGCTAAACGTTTCTTTATTGGTGGCGATGCTGGTTTTAAGATGGATCTATACTTATCAAGTTCATTCTGTAAAGTTTTGATCAAAGAATCTTTTTCGTCAAGTTCCGATTCTAATTCGTCAATCAGATCATCTCTTTGTTTTAACTCTTCAATTTTATCACTTAGACACCTCTGTAGTTCTCTTAATGTCCCCATTATTAAGTCAAACGACAACTTAAATACTTAAACAAATATTCACCGCACAAGTCTTTTCTTGTGTCCAATATATGTCTAGAAAGGACTGACATTTACTAACCTTTAAACAAACTTTTACTTATATCCTTTCCAATGATGCAAGATGAACTTTAACGTTTGGTTCATGTGTTAATTATGTTGAATATTGAAACTGACACGGCATGTAAGAATGTAAAAATATTTATCTATAATTTCTTATTGATACATGATAATTTACTTGATAGAAGTATAGCTACCACAAGATATTAATTACCCATGATAGTTAAAGTAATATGAATGGTCCAAGCGTTTGATTGAATTAACCGACGGACTTAAACGTTTGATTGAATTTGACTTAATTCTCCATGTTGAATATCGTAGTCGTTATTTCATTTTCCATTCTGTGTTCACTTTAAATTAAATTTCATGTCCGAAATGAAATTGCATGGATTAATGTTCTGTTCATCCTATTATGATTTCCAATATCACACCGTATCTTCAGCGACTAAAAATACGATATTAATAAATGTTAATGGCTTTGCTTCAAAAAATCATCTTTTCTTCTCGAGCATTAATTTAACTACAGTATTGGTAGTGGAACTTTTTGATATAACAATATGAACAGATTTTGTTTTCACATTATGTTTCTTTTAAATAAAATTTGCTTTCGATCTTGTTAATAGCCAATCCCGTCTTTGATTCCTCAATTAGTTTACAAATATTTAAAACATGTGCTGGCATGGATTGAGTGAATCTGAAGCGTTCTTTGACTTTGAATCTCTTTATCTTATCTTTTTAATTTTAATTAGTGTCTTCTACCTTTTCTAATTGAAATCAATCATCACAAAAGAAATATTTTTTTAGGTGGCAGCAATTTCTTTTTCTTAATTCGTATCACACCCGAGCATAACTTGAGTGTTCCTTTCTTATTTTTACTTTAAAGACTTATTACTTCACTGTAACGTTTACTTCGGTTTACATATTTTACTTTATCTCCCGATGCTTTTATCAGAGCGAATCTCTGTTATCACAGTATGCGTGGCAGTTTTCCTTGTGCACTTTCAAGAGTAAAATTCTCCAAATTCCACTTGAGAAATAGAATAAACTTAGCAACTATTCACTGTCAAAATATCTGTAAAACTTGAAGATTTCCGTTAAATTCATTAACTGCCTATCAGTTCATTGCCTTTAAGCATATTTCTAGGACGTGTACAGAGATATACATATGGTAAACCATCCACTCTTGAAAAAACGTGTTTAATCCAATTTCTTTGAACAAATAACTTTTCATTTACACTCGCAAGTACAACTTTTTATTTCAATGTTCCAAATTTTTATACTTGTTTTCTATACATTCCAATATCGGTTCAAAGTAAAATACAAATCTACTGATTTTGTATCTGAAGTCAAAGCTGTTGGATGCTATCCGATACTTTATAAAGATAAGTGATTCCCCGTGAATGATAAACAGTGTATTAAAAGAAAATTAGATTTTTCTCCTCTTCATCAGAAAAATACACATAGCGTTGAAAGACACGTGTCAGATTTATTCATTTGTACCTGACAATTCCTGAATATAACTTTCACACCTTATTAATAAAGCAGCTGTATGTATAACAAATGAATTATCAAATTTCCATGCTCTTGTGTGAATATCAAAACATATTGTTTCAATCTTTTTATTTCAGATAGACTGATTTATGTTTATCCTATCTGATAATCAACATTTTCACCTGATATTTCAAATCGATTTTTTTTTCAATTCAAATGAATTTTGGTTAGATGTAGCTTTTCAAAATCAATGCCATTCATTACTACGTCGTTGAAAATAACAATTTTTATCTCTTACTTATAATTGGAGTAAAAAGTAAAATCTAAAACTACATGCATTCAGCCCTGCGGTTTAAGATAGTATCAGAATAGAGAGTATGTAATCACTTCCCAAAACGTGGAAATACTATTCTGGAGCAACTGAGGTTCCAAA